GAGAGAGGGAGGGAGAGGGAGAGGGAGGGAGAGGGAGAGGGAGTCAGGCTGGGCCTTGCAGCCCAGCTATTGACTCGTGGCCCAGGCCTGGCCAGGCAACCGGGCCTGGAATTGATGCCTGCACCCTACCCTTGGGCCAAAAGTAGAGGCCGGGTCCTGGGTTATCCAGGGCTGAGCTGGGCCGATTGCACCCCTATTGTACTTACTCCATGGGGAAACCATTTCCTGTTTTATGTGACTCTGGAGATAAGGTTCTTGTTTTTGACCTTTTTCATGGCAAAAGCATTAGATTCTGAGCTGCATAGAAGTCAGGATATCCCTTCATATCTTGCTGCAAAAGTAATTTGGAGATGCCATGGAGGTCATTGTCTCTGATAACTACTACATTTGTCACAGGTAGCTGCATTTAGAGCAACACTAGAAGAAATTTCAGAGTCCTCTCTTTTGGTTCATGTTGTCGACATCAGGTTTATATGTCATATCTGCTACAATTTTTTCCTTCTTGAAAATTTGTCGAAATGTTTTTTTGGGTTGCTACCTTAGAAATATTTCCACTAATTTTTTGTTCTGATAACTTTATTGTTTGCATGTGCTGAATCAGCCATCCTTTAGCACAGCAGCAGACATGGGCAGTAGACAAAATTCTCTCTGAGTTGGATGTGGCATCAATCCCCAAACTTGTAGTATGGAACAAGGTCTCTCTCTCTCTCTATCGCACCCACCCCCTGCCTTGGAGCAAGACTCTTCATTTCGATTCTTGGCTGCTGTGTAATCTACTGAGACAACAAATTTACATATTGTCGTAATTCAATGGCTTCTGATTTTGCAGGTTGATAAAACTATGGATCCTACTAAAATCAAGATGGAAGCTCTGGAAAGAGACCATGTTATTTGTATATCAGCTCTTAGTGGTGATGGATTAAAGGAATTGTGTGATGCAATTCAAGGAAAACTGAAGGTGCTTATACACATTATTATCTCATACTGTATTCTCTAACATTATGATCTTCTTGACTTTGTGCTTAATTGCTCGTTTGTAATAGGATTCTATGGTGTGGATTGAAGCTTTAGTTCCTTATGATAAAGGAGATCTCCTCAATACCATTTATCAGATTGGGATGGTGGAATGGACGGTAAGTTTGCATGAATTGCCCAAAAAATGATAAGACTGTTACTATATTGCAATTTTTTAATATTCATTAGTATGTTGTGCACGAGAGAGTTAATGTTCAGATATATATTTTATTGTACTTGGGAATTTTTAGTAGTGTTTATATATTATGCTAGCATTTGGCTTTCAAGCATTTCACTAGCACCTTCCGCTTTGCAATGTCAACAACCCGTTGCGGCATGTTGTTCGTCTTTCAAAGTCCATCAATTTTTTGTGGACTGTAATTGGAAGAACGACACACCCCAGTTGCCTCCTTTGACATCTGAAGGGCGTGAACTATTTGAAACCAAATGCTAGCATAGAATACTTTCCCTTTATATTATCAATATAAGTATAGGTTGGAATTAATTGTTTATTTATTTTATGATCAGAAAACTTCGAGCGATATGATACAGTTTCTCTTTTGATCTCAAAAGTTTTATTCTCGTATAGCACTGAAGGTTTCTTTTTTAGGATACAGAAGTTCCATGTATGTGTGAGGGCTTGGTAGATTCTTCCTGCCCTAATTTTCACTCTGTGAAGTAGGAGTCCTCAGGGTGCTTTATGATTTGTGTGTGTGTGTTTGTGTGTGTGTGTTTGTGTGTTTGTGTTTATATAGGAGATAAGTTTTTGTATCCGTTTTGTAATGAATATATTGGTCTTCTTCATGTTTCCCATCTGTTTGCATGTGACTACGAGTGCTAGCCTGTCCCATTAGTTTTTCTCTGTAACTTTGGATTCAAGACGTTCAATCTTTTTCATCATTGTACTGTAGGAGTATAAAGAGCAAGGGACACTGATAAAAGGACATGTACCCCTTCCTCTTGCAAGGCAGTTGACTCCCATGAGACAGCTATGTATATCATAAATAAATTTTTACTGGTAAGGCTGTACATAAACTTCTTTGAGAATATTGTTTGATAATTTTATGTAAATTTGTACAGTTTCAGATTAGCCTTTCTTTAGAACTTTGTGCCCTTGGATGAAACCAACAATCATTGTGATTAGGGTTTCAGGGTGCTGTGAAATTATCATCGAAGATCAGTCGCATTTGACATTTCATGAAAATAGCATTGGTTATGATCAAATAATATGATTATGAGATGTGGTGTAACTGTGCTATGTACCTTCTCATTGCCATATAGATGGCTTGAATCTTTTATTTACGTATTTTATGTTGGATTTTGGGCCCTGCGATTAAGGTATTAATATTGTCTAAAACACTTCCCTTTGGTCTCAAAATGTTATATTCATTTAATTGCAGCCATGATTCATAGAACACTGCTTAACTGCAGCCAAATTACAGTACACCTGTAAATCAAGGTGAAAGTAGTGAGTCATCGTAAGCCAGTGAGAGTTGAAATTTCAGTAGTGAGTCATCGTAAGCTAGTGAGATAACTCTATAAATTGAGGAAGTTGCAGACAAAAACAAAGGGTTTTCATGCATGGAGCTTTTGAAAGTCGATTTGGCATTGTTTTGGCTATGGGCCTTGATGCATGAGATATTCTCCCTGCCCTTGAGGCGTCAATCTCCCTCGACTCGGAAACTCTGAGAAGCAATAGAGCTCAGACGAGTATACGTTTAGGATATAACTATGTCAAGTGAAGCACTTGTTAAAGTTTTCTCAGAAACATACTGTTCAATAAGTTTCTAGGACTGCAAAGGCCACCAACTTGCTTTTTTTTATTGAATAGGACGCGGGCTCCAATAATGAGCTCTAGGAAAACATGTTTTATGACAAATGGGTGAGAAATCTAGGAGAAATTGTGGTATCTTTGATAAACGAGGTCAGAATTTGTAAATAGAGGGGTTGGTTATGAAAAGGCTTAAAAGAAGGGACTGTAGATGTAAAATCCAAAAGTCTCACAAAATTCAAGAAATTTTGTTTTCAAATTTACGCCTAAATAATGACATATCTTCAACTACCCAATTTCAAAATTGATAATAATGATGATTGTGATTTTCGTATGTCAAAAACAAATGGTCTCATTATATATATTTCTTCAAAATTATATCTCTTTTTCAATACAAGAATGTATGGTATGGACCTTCAACAGAACAATCAATCTTTTACTGAAAAAATGAAGCATGGGGGAGTAGTTGAAAGGATAGACACTGTCCTAAATTTGATAATTAAAGTGCGGAGGTTAGGCAAGTGATTGAGCTTTATTGTGGCTAAATCTTGGGCTTCCCGGTTAACCACGGTTAACAGCTATAAACAAGGTTTGTAACTTTTAACCACTGTGAATGAGTTTAGTTGGGAAAAACAATTTAACATGCCCCAACTCAGTTATAGATGGAGGAGAGCTCTGCTTAAACCTGCGTGTGGATTCAATTCTCAAAATTGAAAGATCTTTCTGATTTGCTCTTTAAGACTACCAAAACACTCTGTTGCTTTGAAACACCTAATAAAATTAGGGTGCCGTTTGTATAATGCTGCAACCTTGTACAAGAAAGGTTACAATGCTCTATATTGTCTATTTTACTTGGTATAGATTTAAGATGCCTTTTAAAACACAATCAATTCATGATAATTAGTAAAATATAAATTTAACACGTCTTTTAAAATACTATCAATTCATGACAAGTCTTTTAAGTTAGTCTCTCATCCACACTGTGCAACTAAGATAAATAGTGTAGATTCTTGTAAACTTGCTTCAACATACAAACTTGCAACCTTATTTATACATTTTTCATAAAACTAAGATAGGCAATAGTGATAACTAATATGCTCTTAAGAATCAATAAAACGTTTTCTTTTTTTGTTTGGCCTTTTCGTTTTTTTTTTGGTAATTAAGTGGGTAAGACATAGCCCTACTGCTTTTATCAAATAGTTTAGTAGTTAGTTTTTTAAGGTATTATTGATACTCTTAATAATATTTAACGATTATTTGTTAATTAAACTAATAACTGTGAATTGAAATTATTTATAACTAAGTTTGGTCATGTATCTTTTCTTTATGCGCGTGCACTCATGGGCCCGCATGTGAAAAGTCAAACCAGAATATGCCATGTGCATGGGAACACCGAACCCTTCCCTTCAAAAGTTGATAATCATTGGACTCCTTCCCATCCACATGCACGGAGCGTCCAAACCCTCGTAGTTTTGTATGTCGCGGTATTTGGAGGACGACGCATGTAGTTCTAATAAAAACAATTAAATGGCTACGTATGATATAACCCGTTTACCTTTATTAGGTCACAGCTACCCCAAGCCATACGATTTCAAATTGGACAGCTCGGGTGTATCGAAGTTTTAAAATTTATTTTTGGAATTTTGAACCTATTCAATGACATGCTAACAACTACCTGATTCAAAATTTTACTAAAAGTAAATGGTCAATTTATAAACTTTTTTATTATATATCTATGTAGGCTAGGGCCAACAGCTGAACTAGTGAGGGATTTGGCCTGATAAAGACCAATCATATCACCAATGTGAACGATTGCACCAGGTTTTTAATATAACAAAGAGAAAAATGGATAATAGTTTCAAAATATACAATATATATATAAAAAAAAGTTGCCTATTTTTTTTCAACCATTTAAACCAGTCAAAATTGGTTGATTAAAACTGCCAAAACTTATCAAAAATTGATTTTCACTAGTTTTCTTCAAAACTCGTATTTTTATTCATGGCTAAACCAACAAAGGCTATAGTAAGCAACCCCACTGGTTAGATCACTAGTCCATCACGGTCTCGATATCTATGAAAAAACATAACGGCTCTTCGGATTAAATTTTTTTTTTTTAAACACCCCGTGTGTTATTAAGAGTATCTTGCACATCCCACGATCTTGAGGGATAATTTTTGGGCATCCAATATATATAGCATCCCACCTTAGGAGCATCTTCCTTCCGATCCCTAATGGATGGCAGAGATTTATGGAATTGATCGGCATGCATTGTCCACCGTTGCTTGGGCAGTGTGAATTTCCTCCAAATAGTCTAGTATTTGCTATGCCCCATATAACAAGATGAATTCTCCCTAGGCGCCGTTCTACATTATGGTCCCAAGGGTGCATAGGATACTTCACTTTTCACGTAGTAAGGTAAATAGCACATGCAATAGGAAGTTCATGATTTGTGAAGTAAAATGAAGTAAGAGAGAGGGAGAGTAGAGCCGCCTCTCGTCTCGGGTCTTTGGGGTTGCGTACTCCCCCTCCCTTTTGGCGCCCTCTTTCTCTCTCTCTGCCCTTTTTATTCACACAGCGCGATTCATGTCATTTTGGCGCTCTTGACTCTCTCTCTAGGAAGACTTACTCTGGTGTTCACTCTCTCTCTCCTCTGTCCTCTCCAATGGCGTCTGAACAGGAGTTGCAGGCAATCAAGGTGGCATAAATATTATGATCCTTTTTCTTTCCCCTTTTCCTTTCATGCGGTCTTCTTGTCTGATTTGATTTGTGTTGATCCAAAGTGTGAAAGCTTCTAGTTTTGTGTATTTTACTTATAAATGCTTTCCTGATAAACCATTTTAGGGCGCCAAAGTTTTAATGGTTGGAGCTGGTGGCATTGGTTGCGAGCTTCTCAAGACTCTTGCCCTATCTGGGTTTGAAGATATTCATATCGTGAGTTTGCTCTCTCTCTCTCTCTCTCTCTCACTCACTCTGCTCTGTGCGATTCATTACTCGTTTTTGAACAAGCATTCTTTTAGGTTTTGGTACATGCCTCTCGCTCTGTCATCTCAATCTTTTTAGTAGTAACCCTTCCCTTTGTTATTTTTGTTTTGAACTTCGCTCTCTGTTTTTTAGACTTATGGTTCCTGGGCTTTTTGATTCTTGTATGCTTTTTCTTAAATTGGCGTTGCTTAGTTTTAAAAGTGAGTATTGGGTTAAATTTCTATTTCAAGTGGGGGTAACTGACACTGGTTGATATTCTGATTTTTCCATTGGCTTGCTGCTTTTTATGGGGTTAAAATCACACTTATTTCCCTGCTTTTTATAGACCTAAATTAAGAACGGTATTTGCGCAACTAATTTTATATCAGTTTTATAGAGTTTCAGATCTTGACTGGTAAGCTCCATTACATGGAAGGGAAGAGTTTCAGACCTTCTAGTGAGCACTTCTCCTTATATTAGGACACCTTTTGTTATTTAATGCTAAAACACATTTCTATATGTCAGATAGCTTCAAAACCTATGATGCACGGTTATTTGTGTTTGCTTTAACACAGTGATATTGTACTCTGCCAACACTGATACCGGATACTACTTGAATACTTGTAAATATGAATCAACATAACTGTAAAAACATAATATGCTTAAATACATTGTTACTACGAATTACCAGCTACTCCTTGAATACTTGTAAATATGAATCAACATAACTGTAAAAGCATAATATGCGTAAAATACAGTGTAACGAATTATGATGTGGTATGCATATGCATTTTCTCAAAAGAAAAAGATATATGGTGCGCTTATGCATGTGTGTTGGATTTTGTATATTTATCAATGTGTGGGATAGATAATCGTATCCCTATCCCTTTCCTAGATTTAAAGATATACAATCACATCTCCACTATTCGTATCCGTATGTGTATCAGGGCATGTTGGTTCAAAACCTATTCCTCTTGGTAAGTTTTTGATGACTTATTTTGCCCATGCATATGCCAGGAAGGTTTTCACTTTCTTCCATTTTGGTTAAATTGGCTGGGCTTCAATGGACTCCCCTTAACATATTAACAAAATCAAGAACAGGAGTGTGATCAAGTACCAAATTTCTTACATGACTCAGCTGTCTATTAAACCTAAATTATTAGGACCAGCTATGACTTTGGGTGATTGTCAAAAGGACCGCAGACTGAGTTTCAAACTTCCCTTCAAGGTCTCTTTACGATGCCATTATTTCCTGCTTTCTTGGGTTTTCCGTCTAACAATTCATTAAGATTGCATTCTCATCTCACCCGCATTAGGACCCCTTCAGGTTTTCATTGGTTCATTTTTCCTAAGTTGAACTGGATCCATCTTGCTTTTTTTTTCCTGATGGGTCAGGGCGCGCAGACATACACACAGAGTAAAGGAAATTAATTTCTTGAGAATATATTCAGTAAAGGAATCTGAATTTGCATACTTAGTAAAGGAAATTAGACATATATTTTGTAATCTACCCATCTTGGAGATGTTTTATCTTTCATAAATTGATGAGGATCCTTCAAGGTTGTATGCATTAGCAGTTTGCTTTATAGAATCCACGATGTCCCAACAGACCCACTTGTTATGGTGTTCTATAAGAGTAGTTTAAAATTGAAACAAATGCTCCACTTTGTTCCTTCCCTCTGTGTATTTTCCTTTATTTATTGCATCATCTGTGCAGATTGACATGGATACAATTGAAGTGAGCAACTTGAACAGGCAGTTTTTGTTTCGCCAATGTCATGTTGGGCAGTCGAAGGCCAAGGTAAGTGAAAAACACTGA